AACACTAATTAAATACACCTCAACCAGCTAATTAAGGACTTCCAGGCAGGTGTGTTGAGGCAAGTTGGAGCTAAACTCTGCAGGACACCAGGCCTCCAGGACCAAGTTTAGCGACCCCTGCCATAGACCATGACATAGACACAAATGTTGTTTGGATTAAGCAGCAGCAGCATAGATTCTACACCATCTAATGTGAGTCGGCCAATTGCTCCATTATTGCCTGTAGTAAAAACAGCCTTGAGCTATGTCAGTTAGCATTTACTACACTCTTCCTTTAGGGGCCACATCTCAGTGCTTCACTTTCACAGTGGATCCAGGAAGTTGTACCAATTGCATCATTCACCATGAGTTATCCCCCCTGCCATCTCCATCCAGCCCCCTATCCAAAGAGTGAAAACTGTTGTTTACTTGTGAATGAATTATTTATCATGAAACCAATGCGATGTGGCATGACTGGTCTTCACTCTCTCACTTTCATCTCCACTGCAGACAATCTGAAAGCCGTGTACCAGTGGGCCAGGGCTCACTCTGCATTATGTAAAGAGGACGAGGCCCACAGAGATTTCAATAGAGTCCTGCAACTGGATCCCAAATTCAAACCCATCATCCAACAGGAGATTAAGAAGATGGGTGAGAACATAAGAGTAAAGTGTGTCAATGAAAACAAAAACTACTGGGCAAGCACTCAGGAGAAGTTGGAAAAGAAGGTGCAGGCCAAGAGAGGAAAGAAGACAAAGAAAGGAGTGACATGGGCAGATGAAAGTAATATATTGGGAAGAAATTATGAAAGACAACTCGGAAGATCAGGATGCGGTGACAAATCAGAGGAGAGCTACATTGTCAAAGCAGGTAATAAAGATGAAGGACAGGATGAGAAGAAAAACTTCCGAGAACAAAAAGGACGAGAGCTCTCTGACCCTGAAAGAAGCAAAAGAAAAACATACAGCTGTAGATAAATACAGGGATTCAGTCCAAAGCAGTGTGCTGGGAGATAGTACACAGAGATCAGAGACAGATAGCGGGGCCACCAATGACATTACAATGAACAATTATGGCCAGGATGAGATCTCAGATGAAAAACAAGAATCTCTTGCAAAGCCTGAGAAAAATGCAAGCAGTGGAGCATCAAGGGAAGTAAGACTGACGGACACGACTGGAGATGAAACAAAGGAAAGCAACACAGCTGCTGAGTTTAAGATGGAGAGGAACCAATAGGATCATCACCTGCAAAACCTGAGAAATTCACCAAAAATGTTAAATGCAAATAGAAAAAGAAATAGATATAATATTAAATCCCATCATCTGAAAAAAAAAAAAGACAAACCACACCAGGAGTATAACAAATAAAAATTTATTTCTTTGTACACAATGAGTAGAAAGCAGCCAGTAACTTAATTTCCAAACGCCTTAATTTCACATTTTGTACAGATTAAAACACGAAAACAAAAACCTAAGACATTCATTATAGTGTTAATATTTTAAACGGCACTGCACATGACAAAAAAAAACATAAAGTAAAACAATGCATAAAGTGCAGAGGCAAAAATAAAACATGGAATGTTTGTATTCAGGTCTTTTGACCTGAAAACAACACAACATGTCTTGGTGTGTAATGGTGATGCCACAGGTTCAGAGGTTAAATCAGTAAATGCCCTGTTGTGTGGTTCAATATTACAAACAAGCCTGCAAATGACGTATTGGGGTCGTGACACAAAGGTCTGCTACATACAAACAAAAATAATGAGTGTATTTGTTAATGAGGCAGATGGCTAAATATAGCTCAGGCAGCACTTAGCATTGCTGTAAAATCCACAAAATATTCTGTTCTGTAATATTCCTTCTGCAATTTTACAAAGCCCACAAATTCAGCACATCTCATTTTTTAAAAGTAGACAAGGGAACAATTATTATAGGAGTTAAAAAAGATCATATTAAGGAATAATGGATATACATACATTATATGTCCGAATGGGGAATTATATTTTGCAAATGGTATGCAAATAGGAGAATTTCTATTCAATGTATTACATAATGCTACATGATTTGCTACCATGTTGAAGCTCTATATATATTAATTTGTATAATGCTTAATAAATAATCTCCCTTTCTATAGGCTTAAAATAATTTTCTTAATCAGTATTTTTTGTCTTTCTTTCTTGTAAACATATCTAATACTTAAAACAGGAGTCATTTATTTGAGAAACAATTTTGTTTGATTTTATTACTTGTTTTCAGAGAATATATTGAATCCTTTTTATTCTTACCCGATTAGACATTTGATTTTGACATTTATTAAGTAAAATAAACTCAAGATCTGAAATTGTGTAAATTACATTTTCAGCTATTTTACTTAAGATGTAAAATATGTTTTCAAATAATATATGACTTGGAACAGCCAACTGGGGGCAAAAAAAAGAACTTAATTATAAATTGTATATTCTTTGAAAACTTGTCTTAATATTAAATTTAATGTGTGTGTGTGTATATATATATATATATATATATATATATATACACACACACACACTAAATTTACAATTACAATTAAGTTCTTTTTTTACCCACATCCTTAAAACAAGATATATATCTAATTATATATATATATATCTTGTTTTAAGGTTGTTTGGCTATTAGAATGGGACAAAAAAGACCAAAATAAATATATTTTTCCAGTGTTGAAATGACTTCAGACAATCCACATGTTCAGAGCCCTAAATCAGTTGAGACTGCCTGGCATGAAATAGAGAGGGAGCTGGAGAAATAATATGAATCGCAATGCGCATACTTCAATGTGCACGTTTGTATGTGTGAGGTGCTTTGTCCCAATGAAGCACTGGAATGATAAAATGGGTGTCGCTGTGGATAGAACACCAGATGTTGATTTTAATGAGGAGCCATGCAAGTTAAACAGAGGCAGGCATATGGGGCGGAGGGGACCTGAGTCCCCCACGCTACCTCTTCCTCCATATGTTTATTTGTATCTCCTCCATTATAAAGTCACCCCACCTTTCTAAAGACCAACCTGCAGCACCGTGTCCTTGGGGACAGTTCCTTAGCAACCGCATCAAAACAAACAGACAGCTCGCCACTGTGATGTAAAATTAGATCACAATATATGCAAAAGGAAGCCGGTGATGTCGCAGTGGGATTCAAGCAAAACCTACAGTGCAACAGGGGTCACTTTGTTTTTAGTTTTTTATGGAGAAGGGGAGAGCGAGCAATCGCTATACTTCCAACATGTTTGCCCAAACAAATGGAGAACATCTCTTGCTCTCTTAGCTGCAATAATCTCATTCCTGTTTGCAGGGGCTGCAGTGCCACAACCCATCACAGTGAATATTTACACACTTTTCTCTTTCCCATTTGCAGTCTTTCTTTCACACCGTATCTCTTCCCGCTCGCTATCTTTTTCTCTTTTCTACTCGATACACACCCAGCATCTTCTCTGCTCATATAAATCTGACACCCCACAGTAAATCCTTTTTTTCTCTGTTTACAAAGAGTGTGATCCATTTGCTGTCCTCCTCCCTTGGCATAATGTAAAATAATCCTTCTACACACTCACTTTCATTTTCCTCCTTAGATTGTGGAAATGCTGAGATCTGGAGAACAGCATTTGGTAAACAAAATACTTACATCTGGAAGACGACAATAAGACGAGAGATGTAAGGCTGGTATTCTTTAGAAAAAATAGCTTTGAAGTCTTAAGGCATAATAAGACCTGTGCTCAGTTTAAATGAGTCAGGCTGTGACTTGAGTGTAAAAGAGCCTCCCAAGCCAAAGTGAAAAGGGCTGAACCAGGCGTTGAGTCGTCTCCTTGGGTATCTACTTTCTTGTTCATACCACGGTGGACAGCTGTAATTTAACGGCAAGTGCTCTGACAACAAATCTACACTACAAATCTCCATTCCTGAAAGACCTTTCCCTTGTGACCAGAAAACCAACAGCTGAGAAATCCTTTCTGTATGAGTGGCTACACTGCAAAAAAAAAAATCAATTTATTAATCAAGGTTTAGTCTTGTTTTCCAATAGAAATACCTAAACATCCTTAAAACAGGAAACATTTATCTGAGAAGCAATTTTAATATGAGATGTAATCTCAGGGAATTTTTAATTTAAGTTTTTTTTTTTCCCTCCTTGATTTAAGCAGAAATCTCTTGGGTTCAATAAAAGTTATGCTCAATCGACAACATTCATTGCACAATGTCTGTTACCACAGAAAATAATTTAAACTTGCCTCACAGTTTTTAAAAACAAAATAGGCATATTTTTAAATCAGGCACAAATACATTTTTTGATGGTTGAATTAGGAAAAATAAGCTGTCCCCTGTTAAATAATATCTTAAAAGGGTCATATGATGCGATTTCAATTTTTCCTTTCTCTTTGGAGTATTACAAGCTCTTGGTGCATAAAGAAGATCTGTAAAGTTGCAAAGACTAAAGTCTCAAATCCAAAGAGATATTCTTTATAATGTTCTTTTTAGCAGCATCATATGACCACTTTAACAAATTTAAATACACTCTCACATAGAGAAGAGTAAGGGGGTGGTAAGATTTTGTTTGTTTGTTTGTTTGAAAGAAGTCTGTTATGCTCACCATGGCTGCATTTCTTTAAAAAAGTGTAACTGTAAAATATTATTGCAAAAATACTGATCAAAAAACAATTTTTGCAGTACATCTGAGTATGTATATATATATATATATATATATATATGCATTTAAGATTGATGGTCTAAATGAAAGAGAGAAAGAGCAGGGGAAAAAAGAGAAGGAACATCAGGGCAGGAGCACAATGCTCATGGGCACTTTGACTCAACCAAAGACGTGTCATCCTTACAGTGTAAATAAGCTTGCTGTGTGTCCCGACAGTTCAGGACTATCTGCTCATTTCTGCTTCACAGAACAAGGGCCACGCATTGCCAAGCATGACCTACCATCGGTATATGTGTATATTTGTGTTTATGTGCATGAGTGAGTCGCAGAAAATAGTAAACCATTTTAAAATTGAAAAAACAAACCAAAAAAAAAAACATACACACAGATAAGTTGCTGGCACAGGGATACCTAAAGAGAGATCCCCTTCTGCGTGGTGTAAGTCCTGTTTGTGGTTCTTGTGCTGTACTGATGAAGCCACACACCTTGCATTAAGTGTTAGCACAGTGTCCGGATCAGTGCAGGCCTTTGGCACCATGTAAACATTAGTTCGTTTAGTTAGCACTCAGATATCCCACAGCTCTTTAGGAAATGGACGCAGGTTGAGAAGGTTGTCTTGAAACTCTTCTCGTAGCCCCGTCGTCTGTCCATGGATTCACCTGCCCTGAAAAATTTAAGAAGGGTGTTACATCATCTAGACAGATCGATAGAAAGCTGAAACATCAAATGCAAAGATCAAAAATGTTTTCAAATGTAGTTCCCTTTAACACACTGGACAGCAGGCAGTTTTAAGTAATAAACCTGTATGATTTTCTTTCCTTTCGTGGAGCTCAAATGTCTTCTGAAGACTGTCAGGAACATACAGGAAGTCGTTTTTGCTGAATATCTTCCTGTTTTAGCTCTCAAATGATTTCTGTGTGCTGGGTGCGTCACGTAAGATTTGAAATTAATTATGTCCAACATCATTGGTTCTTAAGTGTATCGTAGGCAAATGAGATGTGCTTGAAAGAGAAATTATTAATTTGAGAATTAAACAATGACTTTTCGGCCTGGTTTTCACACAAATCATATCATACAGCTTCACAAGACTTTGAATACAGTGCATGAGTCATACGGACCATGTTTTTATAGTACATTTATAGTGCTTTTTATAGCAGTATAAATCACCATTCACTTACAGACTCTGCTAAACTTCTATTGTGTTTCATGAATGAAAAAGCATACAGGTTTGAAATGTCACAAGGTGAAATACTCCTTATATAAGCTTATATAATTCATAAATAATGAAACTATAAGCAAACCTGCACAATTATAGGCCTCTGAGTTTTGCATCAGGTTCCTCATGGACCTGGCTCAGATGGGAAGACGTTCCTCAGCTGTTCGATTACCTGCTGCAGCTGCAGTACGGTGTCCTGCTCGTAATCCAAATACTCACCTACACAACATTAAATGCTACAATAAACATGACCTCAACTAAATGCATCGCAAGTTTACAGCAACATACTGTATAAGCCTTATTCAAACAAGTCACATCCATTTGAATCCCATTATTGGCTGATGTTGGCAGGATGACAGGAAATGGCAGTTGTTCCAGGTCTTACCTGCAGCTTCTGTGTCTGTGGTCTCTCTGCTGGGAGGCTCCCCCTGGTGGTCACCCCCTGACACAGGAGAGGACAGAGAGGAAGGAGCCGAGCCATTGGCCTCCGAGTCATCTTTGGGCTGGTAGACATGACAAAATCATGAGAGAGCAAGAAAGCAATCAAATCCTAATCAACACAGTTCAGAACAGAATCCAGCCACATTGCTCTATCATTTCTGCAGTATGAACATGACCGTTCAAAAGTGTGGGGTTAGTATAATTTTGTTTTTATTCAGCAAGGAAGCATTAAATTGATCAAAAAAGACAGTGCAGATATTTATAATGCTACAAAGGAATTCTATTTCAAATAAATGCTGTTTTCTAACTATTATATTCATTAGAGTTTCCACAAAAATATCAAGCCACACAACTCTATTCAACATTCATAATAATAATAAATGTTTCTTGAGCAGCAAATCAGCATATTAGAATGATTTCTGAAGGATCACTGACACTGAGGACTGGAGTAATGACTGTTGAAAATTCAGCTTTACCATCACAGGAATAAAAAAAAAAAATATTCAAATAGAAAAGTTATATAAATTGTAATAATATTGTACAGTATTACTGTTCTTATTGTATTTTTTATATAAATGCTGCCTTGGTGAAAATAAGAGACTTATTTCAAAAACATTAAAAAATAATCTTCCAAACCCCTTCTGAACAATATTACATAGTTCTTTTTCTAAATCTCATTTCATTTTTATATTTAATTTGATAAAATTTTAAATAAAATAAATATTGTAATACTGCACATAGCATTACATATACTGTACAAAGCATGTGTATACCCACAGATGTTCATAACTGTATACTAATAAATAGTATAGGCAATATATACTGTTCAGTATGCAGTTTACTAGCCTAGCAAAATAACAAAATACTATTGTTGGGTTCTTTGATGAGAAAAACAAGTTTTCAAATGCTGTCAAAACTCCAAACTTCTGTGTTTATCGAGCAGGGATTTGACCCCTTTTCCATACATTACAAAAATGGTGTATTTTCTTGAGGGATGAAATAAACTCATACGAATCAAGAGAACACTCGCTTTTTTGAGAGAGGGAGATGAGTTGATTGAGGCTGTTTGCATGAATACCTCAAATTTATTCCAAGTTAAACTCTTTTATCGCCTTGCAGAGATGTCCACAGAGGTAAGACTGAAACTTTCCCAGCGACTTTCTAAGGGTGCAGAACGAAGAGTTCAGATCTCCACAATCCCTGCACATTATTGCTTCCCCATGACACATCTCTCGCTCGTTTTTAAAGGTTAAGTCGATCTCTCTCCCCCTGTTCCTTCCCTCTATTTCCATCTAATTCCTTTTCACCTACAGCTACAACCTCAGTGTTTTTGCTCCGCTCTCTCATTCCATCCAGCCTGCCAATCATACCTCTGCAGCACTACCTCTCTTTTTTCTGCACAACCACCTCTTATCCCATTCACTCAGCACTGCCTGAGCTTTTCTTTTCCCTCCTCGGCCTGCTTTCTGTCTTTCTTTGACTAAAGAAAAGGTTCCTTTTTCTGCCCACTCTATTCTGTCATCTCGCTCCTTAAAGTCGGCATGAAACGGAAGTTGCGATTGTCTTTTCTTCTCTACTGTGACATATATCCGAGTGAAACGGCATCTGAAATGAGAGGGCGGGACTTGATTTCGTCCTTCGGGAATTGATTGGATCGTTGGAAGCTGGGGCGTTGCTAACAAAATGGAGGCAGATCTGAATGCCAGTTTGCAGTTAGTGGTGGGGGATTTCTCTCCACTGGATTCACAGCCGACACCCAAGCATGAATAAATGTTTTATTTATTAAGGATGACGACGACGATCAATGGCACAAAACATGCCTAAACAGCGCGCGCGCACACGAGAGAGAGAGAGAGAGAGAGAGAGAGAGACTGCCTGAATGACTGAACGCATCCTCCATCAGGTTAAGCCATATTCATGAAAGAAAATTAGTTTGCGATGTCCTAAGATTAATGTTGTTGTAATATCCTAATATATTTTCAATGTTTAGGGGTAACGTACTCCCTCATGACTGGTGTCAGTGCTATAAAGTGAAGCATCAGCTTCAGCTTTTCCCCCTGTTGTTTATCCCAGCGTTTACCCCTCACGTCACTCGCTCCGCCCTTGCGCCATAGCTCGTGACCGGAAGAGAAGATGAGTCGTTTTGAGGGGGAGGTTAACATTTTTGATTAAAGATTACGAGGGCACATGAATTAAAAAAAAAATAATGAAGTGCACAGATAAATTATTTATAATAAACATTACAGTATTCCATTAAAAAATAAGAATTTTCAATTTTGATTTCATGGTGACTTTAAGCTCCATGTACGTCAGTTCAAGAAATTACTTACCTTCTACCCACTCCATCTATATGATTCTATCTCCATCAATGGTGTTCTTCCCCATATATAATCTCTCTCTAAGTCTTCCTTCCCATCTTTGCAATTTACCAGAAGCAATTCACCAGAATGTAGTGTGCTTTCCTGCACTCTCTCATCCTCCATCTCTTTTCAGGTATGAATAATAGTGACTTTAAAAAAAAATCCTTTCTGTTTTCACATCTCTTCTCCTATCACCTGAGACAAGTCTTTTCTAGTTCCTCGTCTCCTTGTCCTTACTGAACCTGCATTAGTAAGCATCTCTTGCCTGACTTTTACCCTTCTACATATGATACAGTCTATGATATGGACTATCCTCGTCTGTTCAGTCGCATCCCTACTCTTTTTGCAGAGAGCTTCAAATACATCGTCTTCCTCCCTCTACCTCGCTTTTCAGTATATTTTGTAAGCAAGCCTATCTTTGTTTCTCTCATAGTGGCTGTTTTTAAATCTCAAAACATTCCTTCAAACCCATAAACATTTAACGTTAAACTCACCAGTGCAGAAGGCCCTGATTTACCTGTTCATGTCCCTCCCTGTACAGTGGTAACATATTCATACAACTCCCTACGCACCATTCCTTCACTGTTTCTATCATAATAATCTATTCTGGCTAACACTTTAGTACTCACTGTGGGCATACCGCTCCTTTTTTTTTAGTATACAGGCATATGTTTATATCTCATAAATCTCACCTGCAGCAGTAGTTCTCTGAGTCTGCGTAGCTGGGACTCCAGTTGCTTGTTGTGGTCCTCCAGAATCTGCATTCGCGTCTCCAGGCGGGTCTTGTGCTGTCGAAGGACTCGAGCTTCGGCTAAGAGCTCCTCGTCCTGCTGACCGGCCAGTGAACCTGGACCTGACTCCAGCAGCTGGGGTGATGCTGCTGCCTCTTCGTGCTTCCACTTCAGCCGCCGATACTCGCCCTGCAGCACCCTACAGGAAAGATAACACCATCATCATCATCATCATCACTATTGCTTTCTTGGCATCATCATCATTTAGGTCATTATGCATGCAACATCTAGACAAAAGTTGTTACTTTAAACAAATGTTATACAATCATGTTTCTTTACTCAATTTAGAATTCTCTCATACTCAGCCTATACAAATTCATTTTGTATCTTAAAGGGATAGTTCACCCAAAAATGAAAATTTGATGTTTATCTGCTTACCCCCAGGGC